AGGGATTTGTTCTTGTGACGCAGAGAAAGGGGATCGGTCTCTTCGCCGCAGGCTAAAGAAAGCTCTGAGCACTTTGCAGGGCTTTCGTGTCCAGCTCGAAGATCAACAGCAGTTGCTGGCAAGGACGCGCTTCCTCCGCCGCACCAGCGGCAGTAGGAGTAGCGGCAACAGCGATCCTCAAGAAACGCTGCAAAAAATCATACATTGTTATGTGGGAATATCGAGGCTGGCGGAAGAGACGCACGCGGCAGCTGAGGGGCTATTGCAGCACGTCAGGAATGGGAAGCAGCTTCAGCAGCAACTGCAGCAGCAGCAGCACCACTTTGCAGCTGCTATTGGCAGACTCGACTCCTTCGCTCATTCCCTGCAGCAGCTGCAACAGCTGGCCAGGCAAGAGGAACAGCATCTGCAACAGATGCAACAGCAGCAGAAACAGCACATTTGGAAACTCATGGACCAATGGTCATCTGGGGAAGTTGAAATGCAGCAGCAGCTATTGAAAACGGTTCTGCAAATCGCAGCAGCCGATGCTAAACATATGGATGAGCTGAGAGAAGCCTGGATACAGGTGAATGCCTAGAGCCCATTCCTGTTGCTGCTCGTGCTGCAGCAGCACAGCGCTGCTTTTTTCTGTTGTTCTATCCTCTNTAGAGCCCATTCCTGTTGCTGCTCGTGCTGCAGCAGCACAGCGCTGCTTTTTTCTGTTGTTCTATCCTCTTCCATTGCCCCATAGTTGTTGTTGCATATGTTGGTACTGTTTTCATCGCTGCTGTTGCTGCTGCTGCAGTTGATGTGCTTGAGCGCGCTGCCACGGAAACTTGCAGCCGAAGAGACGGCGGATGTTCCAACAGCGACAGTAGCAGCAGCAGAAACAGGATCAAGCGAAATTGCTGATACGCTGCGTGAAGAAGGATCTCTCGTTAAAAGGATTGGGTTTACAAAGGAGCAGGCCCCGCGACTGTTGCTACTTTGCCTTATGCTAGGTGGGTGCCAGCAGCAGTGACCGCACCAAGAGACAGGATCATCAGCACAAGGCAACACGAGAAAGCGAACAGGGTAACAAGCAACTTAACAAAGCAGCCCTTTCTCGTTTGTTTTGTTGTGTTTGTCCGCAGAAGCAGACGAGCTTGCAGGGTGGGTCCTTCACTGGATTGATGCATGCATGCCTATCGCAACAACTCCTGCAGAAGCAGGTGGTTCAAAAGACGGAAAAGTTCCTGGTTGCAAAGACAGCGCAACAAGCAGCAGCTGGGCTCCTGCTGCGGCAGTAGCAGCAGCGTTCGTTTCCGATGTTGCAGCAGCACAGCAGAGCATGCAACCTGAAGCAGCTGTCTACACGCCGGAGATATATGCCTTCTTGAGGCGGCGTCTGCTGCGAATTCGCGCCTGCAGTCATCTATCCAGCAGCAACAGCAAGATGACAAAAGCACGCAGCAGAAGGTCTACTGCAGCACCACCCAGCAGCATACATCAAGATTCGCACAGAAGCATATCTCCGAGCACCGGAATCACCTCCCCTTTGGCAACTCAGCAGCATAAGCACCATGTAACGGCTGCAGCATCCGCCCCTGCTACTTATGCTGCAGCACGTGGGGCGTATGCTTCGGGCCCAAGGGAAGGAAGAAGCGGCAGGACCCCCACGCCCGTTGCAGCAAGCATCTGCCCCTCCCCAGCACGCCGCCGCAGCTGCACAACGGATACGCGTGCTGCAGAGTCAGCGTCTCGCTTAAGCAACCATCAGCATCAGCATCACAACGGACCACCAGCTGCTGCTGTTCAGAGCCCACCTACTGCTTCTGCAACCTACGCAAGCGGTATCTTGAACATGATTAAGCCCCTGCTTGTCTCAGAGGAGGAAGTGCAGTTGGAACGTCAAGTAAGGACGCACGATTTATTGTTGATGCAGCGGCAGCAGCAGCATCTGCAACACGAGAAGCAACCGCAGCAGCAGCATCTGCACCACGGGAAGCAGCCGCAACGGCGGCATCTGCAGCGCGGGAGGCAAGCTCAGCAGCAGCATCAGCAACAGCAGCAGCAGCAGCAGCAGCAGTTTGTCAAGCGCCTGCCTGATGCTGTGGCATCCTCAGAGGCGCCTTTCCTATCGTCTCCCCAGCATATGCACCATATGTACAACACCACAGATGAGGCACTGCAGAAGCAGNGCCTTTCCTATCGTCTCCCCAGCATATGCACCATATGTACAACACCACAGATGAGGCACTGCAGAAGCAGTTGCTGCTCCTGCAGCAGGAAGAACAGCTTCTGCAATTGCATCGGCAGCAAGCACAGCAGCGGCAGCAGCAACAGAGTGTCGAGCAGTTGATGCAATCTCACATGCCCCAGGGAGTGCCGTTCATGCTATCCTCTCAAGAGGAGCTTTCGGTGCAGCTGGAGAACGACACAGATAGACTGCTGCGCCAGGAGTTGGCGCTTCTGCAGCAGAAAGAGCAGGAAATGCAGCAGCGTAGACTCCAACTGCTGGCTCTGTCCGAGGCAGAAACAGCTGCTGCTGTTGGAGCAGAGACTAGACGCAGCAGCAGACGGTTGACTTCTCCACCAAGAAGGCAGTTGTCTATGAGGCGGCGTCAGCAGCATGCTGGTGTGTTTGCTGCTGCCCCCCCCAAAAGCAGCAGCAGCAGCAGATCTCCCAGCTCTCCAACAGCATCAGTAAAGGAAANGCTGCTGCCCCCCCCAAAAGCAGCAGCAGCAGCAGATCTCCCAGCTCTCCAACAGCATCAGTAAAGGAAAAGAGAGAATTGTCGCCTCAACAGTCCAGACAGCAAGCGTACCAACCCAAAGGAAAACATTCAGCAGCAGCGAGGAGCAGAAGTGTGGTAGCTAAGCCTACAGGTGTAGCACCACGCCGCAGCAGCCCTCTGCAGCAGCACCACCAGGAGCAGGAGCAGCAAGCGACGGCCACTGCGGCAACTAGGCCAACGAAGCAGCAACAGCAGCACCTGCAGGAGCAGCAGCTGCACCAACAAGAGCAACAGGACCACCTGCAGGAGCAACAGCTGCCGCTGCAAGAGGAAGAACAGCAGCACGAATCTGAGCAATATACTGCTCTGGATCTGTGAGTGTCCTACCTGTTGCTGCTGTCCCACTTGTTGCTACTGGTTTTGCTGCTTGAGCCTCACTTTGCTTCTGCACGAGTACGCTCGTGCGTCATAAGCGCTGTGCCTGTGCTGCTGCTGTTCACGGCTCCGCAGGACCCTGCAAAGGATATTTCGAGTTCCTGCAGCTAGCATCCCGGGGAGGAGACAGAACGGTGCAGCTNCAGGACCCTGCAAAGGATATTTCGAGTTCCTGCAGCTAGCATCCCGGGGAGGAGACAGAACGGTGCAGCTACGGCTGCAGTAGCCGCTGCTGCCGCTGCTGCTGCTGTGCAGGCAGCAAAGAGGCAGCAACAGGGAATGGGCGTGTCTGGAGAAGAGCGCAAGGCCTTGGCTGAGAAGCTAAGGAGACTGGCGCAGCAGTTGCAGGATGATGAAGAGCCAACGCAGGAGCAGCAAAATTCTCAAGAGCAGCAGCAGCCACAGCAGTATAACAAACGACACCAGCAGCAGCAGCAGCAGGAGTGCCAAAAGCGGACGCCTCCGAACATGAACGAGCACGCAGACACTGCTGCCGCTGCATCTCTTCAAGCCAGGTGCAGAAGCAGCAGCAGCAGTGCAGTTAACGACGAATGCATTGCCTCTTCAAACAAGCAAACGGAAAGGCAAAGAAGAGGCAGCAGTAGCAGCAACAGAGGTTGTTCCGCAACACAAGGACGAAACCGCGTGAAGGCAGCAGCACCAGCAACAACAAAACAAACGGCGCATGGATATACAGCGTCTGCTGAACAACTTCAACAGCCCAGCAGTCAACGCAGAGAATTGAAACCTTCTTGCTATGCGTGNCAGCGTCTGCTGAACAACTTCAACAGCCCAGCAGTCAACGCAGAGAATTGAAACCTTCTTGCTATGCGTGTGGCGTTGTTACAACAGCAGAGGGAGCAGAGGCAGCAGCAGAAGAATGCGCAGCAACAAGGAGCGCCAGCCCTCCCACCGTAGAGATGGAGCAGCAGGCGAAAGTTCTTCAGGTGTTAGACATCCTCATGAGGCAAATCGAGACGTCTCAAGGGCTCACATCCGATAACACGTCAATAACTGCAAGAGAAACAGAAACAGCGACAGCAACAGCAGCAGTAGCAACGCGTAGAGTTTCGTCATCTTTCTTCACAGATACCCTGTCAGAGGGACATGAAGAGCTGCAGCAGGAAGAAGGCCGTTGCAGGACTCAAAACAATTCAACGACACAAGCGGTGACAGCGTTTGCAGCCTCAGGGGCAACCGCAGTCTCACCACCTAAAGCAGCAGCAAGAATGGCTCACCCGTGCAGTTCCACAGCTGCCTTGATGAAGGGTGTACGGCAGGAAGGACAGCCGCGAAGTCGGGCATCTTCGGCCGTATTCAACGCAGCAGAAGATTCAAAGGGAGCAGTGGAACTGGAGCATCAGGACTCTTCTATGCCCACGTCATCGCTCGCCGAAGCCCGCAGCTGCTGCAGCGGCCAATGCACCCCTAGGCGGAATGAGTCGTCAGAAGCATCCGGGCAGTCGGCAGCAGCAGCAGCCGTGGCAGTTCCCTTTAAGCAAGACCGTTCTGTAGGAACAGCCAGGAGGCGGCAACATGACCCGTTTTCAGAAGCTGTACTGCAGCTGCTGCACGACGAAAAGCAGCAGCAGCAGCAGCAGCAAAGGGCAGTCAGGAGAAATCATCCTACCTCGGCCCACAAAGTCCAGCAGCAGCAGCCGCAACAAAAAGAAGTGTATGCTGCTTCTCTATCCCCACCGAGTCGCTCTATCGCAATGAAGAAGCAGCCTTCTTTGCAGCACCAAAACGTCAACCTTGCAAAACCAGACTCCAGCGAGCAGCGCTTGGCAGCAGAAGATTCAGCACATAATGACGTGGGACCAGCATCAAAGGCGGACGAAGGCGGAGTTGCAACACACTCAGAATCAACAGGAACGGCGGAGGGGAAAACAGCAGCAGCTCTTGCTGCTATTGCAGAAGCAGCATCTGCAGGGCTCCGCACTACAATGACTTCACAAGGGCAACCGCAGCAATGCCAGGAGCAGCGCCCCTACTCTGAAACGACGTCAAGCATTTCCATGGGAGATTCCTCATATGCATCCTCAAAGTCGGTGGTTGCAGAGACTGCTGCAGCAGAGGCTAAGGCCACTCCAGCTAAAGCTGTTGCTGCATCCACTTCAGAGCCCGTTGCCGCAGCAGCAGGTCCAGAGGCAGAAGCAACTGCAGAAACTGCAGAAAAAAAGCCAGAAGTAGCACTAACAGAAAGTGCAACAGGTGAGAACAAGTCAAACAAGCAGCAGCAGCAGCTCCACGGCAAAGCAGTGTCCGCTGGGAAGACGACATCGTCCACAGAAAGCAAGCGCCACATGCAACGCGGTGTCAGCACCAGCTGTAACAGCAGTAGCAACAGCAGCAGCAACAACAACAACGTCAGCAGTAGCAACAGCAGTAGCAGCAGCAACAACAGTAGCAGCAACAGCAGTAGCAGCAACAGCAGATCCGCCAATTCCAGAACAGCGGTAGCGAAGCGGTTCGGGGGGCAGCCGGACGAGGCAGGAACACGAAATGAGCAGACGGTGCTGCAAAGGCGCTTGCCTCAGCAGCAGTATTCAAGGCAGCAACAGCAGCAGAAGAAAGCAACAGCAAAATCAGCGGCAGCAGCTGCAGCAGCTGCAGACAAACCAGGCCTTAGCGCTACTTCAGCTCCTACCCATAGCACTACGGCGCCTCAGCAACAACAGCGGCGAGAGCGGCAGCTGTTGCTACTGCAGCAGCAGCGGCAACGACTGAGGCGGGAAAAGCAATTGCAGCAGCAGCAGCAGCTATCTCCTCTGGAGGAGTTGAAACTTCGGAGAATCAAAGTCAAAGAAATTGCTTTGCAGCAAAGACTAAAGGCTAGTGGACTGGCGTATGTACTTGAAATGATAAACCCAAACACGCATGTCTAGAAAGGCACTGAGTAGACCGGCAGATTGGCATGCCTGTGCGACTGTATATTTGCATGAGCCGCTCCTATGGTGCTATCACTGTTGCTGCAGCTGCCGCTTTTGTTTCTGCAGGAAGCGCTTGCAGCAAGAAGATGATGTTCCGGCAGATTCGCCAACTAAGGNTGCCGCTTTTGTTTCTGCAGGAAGCGCTTGCAGCAAGAAGATGATGTTCCGGCAGATTCGCCAACTAAGGAATCTCCTGCGCCTCCGCGTCCCTCAATAAAGGCAAGTTCTTTATTCTCATCACAGGCCATAAAGGGTGCACTCTCCTGTCTCGGAGACCTGATACAATTCGTGTAAATGCTACTGTCAGTCTATCCTCGGTGTTTGTTATGAACACGAGCAAACAAATATTTGGGGGTTGCTTCACTTAGAACGGCCACGGCGAAGCAGACGAAGGCTAGAACACAAAAACTATCAGCTGGCGGCAATCGGCTGCAGTGTACACCTGAGGCCTGAATGCGACTTGGGCTTTCCTTACATTTATGTTCAGAGGAACGTAGCAGCAACACTAGCAGCTGCGCGAGCAGCAGCTGGTGCTGCACCGAAAGCAGCCTCATCAACAGACAAGCCGTCCCGAGAGCAACAGCACAGCCAACTCAAGAGCGCAGGGACAGCAGATGCAGCTGTTGCCGCTGCTGTGCTAGAAGCAAAGAGGCGCCTTAAAAAAAAGAGAAGGCATTTCCTGCAGCAACAAAAAATGTTGCAGTACCCACATTTAGCCACCCGGGATGTACGCAGCAGGCGCATGGCAACAGCCGCTGTTGCTATGGTTATCGCTGCTCAAGCTAATTCTGCTACAGCAGCAGCAGCATCCCAAGGTGGTGCACCAGCAAGGTCTCGGTTCAAAGCATACATAAGAGAGTCTGCTGCTGTCTCTGTGCTGCTGCTGTGTCCATCAGGAGTTGCTGCGGAGGAGAGACGCACGTTTAATGGCTTTCGTGCGGCAACAGCTGATGCTNGTGTCCATCAGGAGTTGCTGCGGAGGAGAGACGCACGTTTAATGGCTTTCGTGCGGCAACAGCTGATGCTACCAGAAGATACAAGTGCAGGAGTAGCTGCTTCTGCTCCTAGTGCTGAGCAGTTGCGCCTGCATAAAAAATATGCTTTAACGTCTCCTAACGTCGTTTTGTTAACAGAAAAACAACGCCGGACTCTCTTCCAGAGCAGCAACAAGGCAGGCAGCGGCACGAGACTAGAACAGGAACCAGAGCAGGATCCAGGGCAGCAGCGGCAAGAGCAGGGAGCATGCTGTGGGGAGAAAACGTCTCGAGGCTGTGGTGAGGCGGCTAATCTCTCCATAGCGCTCATTGAAGAAGAGCTGCAGCAGCAGGAGGAGCGCGGGAACAAGGGGACGCCACTGCTGCTCTCGGCACGTAGCCCAGGAGCAGCCGCTGCTGCTGCAGCTGCTGCAGTGTTGATGTTACCAGCACATCCGCCATTCCCGTGCAGCTCAAGCAGCACTCCACCGCTTCCACTGGAACTCCATCAACAGTTGGGGGAGCATCAACAAGAGGATGGCTGGTCTGCAGAAACTGCGCCAGTTGCTGCGGCGGCAGCAGAAAGCTCTTTGGTCCCGACGCAAGTTGTCAGCGTTGCAGCAACCCCGCGGAGCTGCACCGACTCTTTCCCCCCAGTTCCTGTGACTGCTGTTGTAGGGCCGTCTAGGCAAGCTGCTGCTGTTTCTGCCCCTGCTACTGTTGCCGCTGCTCGCACGGGACAGAGACTAGAGGCCGTCAAGCAGTGCGCCAACCGAGTCCGCGAAGCCCTCCGCCTTGAAAGCAAAATATCAGCACTGATCACTCATACAGAACGGAGCAGCACGCGCAAAAACTACAGCAGGCGTAGCAGTTGCAGCAGCCGCAGCAGCAGCAGTGAGAAGCTGTTTGATGGGCTGAAGGAAACGTTCGCAACGCCGCGACCAGCGACCCCTAGGAATGGGACCTTAGAAGTACCCTCTCAGATGCAGCGCAGCAACAAGAACAGCTCTAAAACCAATCTTAAAGTTGTAACGCCGTCACACGTGTCTACTGGTAGCGGCGAGTGGGTTTTTCCTCCCATGCAACAGCAACTTCACCAAATTCAGGAACCGCAGCAACAGCGGCAAGAGCAACAGCAGGCTCTGCACCGGTATGGTGACGATTGCAGCTGCTCAAACATAACGTACTTTGATTCGAACGGACAAGGAACTTCTGGTTTCAGGACTCGGTCCCTGCAGTGTACACCGAGAGCAGCAACTGACAGCAGCAGCAGCAGGAGCTCTAGAGGAGCCCAGCTGATCACCTCTGGAGCAAATGGGCTCGTTGCGGCGGCAAATCCGGCACCGATAGCTTCAGCCACAGCAGAAACATTCGCAGCAGCAGGGGCAGCAGCAGGGGCAGCAGCAGAAAATATTTCGAATAAGCAGCAAGATAGAGTCGTTGTGCGTCTTTCTCTTGGGTCGTTCGCGGGCTCTTCCCTTTCGAAAAGCCCACGTGCCGCCTCTGCCGAGGCTCAGGACCCCGTGAGGCAGGAGGAGCTGCAGCGGAAGCAGTTGCAAAAGCAGCCGGCGCCGCAGCAACAGACAGAGGCCAGGAGAAGGAACTCAATTGCGCAATCTCTCAAAGCCCGAGCAGATGCTTATCGCGGTCAACAGCAACAGCAACAGCAAGATGGAGTCCCCCTAACTCCCAAGGGTAGCATATTCAGGACAGCGATTTCGCAGGGCTCTGGCAGCCCAACTCTCAGCAGTTTTGTGAGCAACAATAGCAGCAGCAGAGCGGCAATAGGTGCGGTGCATTTGCCCCAAAAGGTGTTGGCGAAGCTGCCCCCGGAAGTTGACAATCAAAAGGGCGGTAACAACAGAGTTGAGCGACGAGTGGAACCCACCAGTGAGCTTTTTGCAAGCGATTGCATGAACCAAGACGAGGAGGGTGATGAAAGAGAAATAGAGCTGTTGCTGGCATCGGAAGAGGCCCAATGTTCTTTTGACAATTGGGGGGTGTCCCCTATGCAGTGATCAACTGAACGGTAGCAGTAGCAACAACACTGAGAGCAGCAACCAATATGCCAGCAAACTGTCCACATTATCTCTGCCGCTGCTGGAGTGACATCTGCTCCCCCCTAGCCCTTCTTCGCGATGCGGCGCCATGCAGGGTCAGCGCCAGCGCTGCCACTTCGCTCTACGAGCAACTAAGCAGTTGGGCTCGTGCATATGTTCCATTTTAATCCAATTGTTCTAATATATGTCCTTCGCGAATTAGAGTTTTCAGGGCTCTATAGGATGAGCCTTTGCCGATACCTTTAACAATGCAGAGGAGATACTGCGTGCACGAATATGCAAATACATAGATAAGCAGACGAGCACCAGGCGAACAAATGGACAAGCAAGTGAGGGAATAAAAATTCCGCAAGAGGCAACTTTGTAGGCTGAACGTCTACGGACAAAGTGGTTACTATGAAAAGTTGCGATACAGCTCGATGACGAATTTACGAGCGCATGAGCAAACAGAAGCAGAACCGACAAACAGAAGTGTTCGGAGTAATTGGCTACCAACAACCAGCAGGAGAGTTTTTCTTGGAAGCGAAATTCAAAACAGTGAAAGTGCTTGTTCCCCGAATCCAGCATGCGGCTAAGACCGGTTTGGGCGATTTAGCGTCAAAGCTGTAAAGCAACAAGGGCATCTGCAG